GTAGAGTCAGTTAGGGAAGTGTTCCAGATTAGCAGCAAATGATTATTTTCATAATTGTTAATAATTTACTAGTAACCAGTTAGTGTTTGGCATTTTTACTTTTACAAATGTGTATTGTAACTATTATTTGTTATGTTTTCTGTCAGTAGACTTGGGGTATAATTGCCTAATTGTTTACGCAGTACGCAACTCTCTGACTGGCTGCCTGAGTATCTGATTATCTCTGTGACTCACCTCACTCACCTTCTCTGCTGTCCAGTCTTTTTATTGACTCATTCCCAAATCATCTTCTTTTTTTTTTGTTTCCTTTGCCCCAAATTGGCCGAAGTAAGCGATTTCAAAATGTGCTTTAAGTACTTTGAGGAATAAATGGGGAAGGAGACCAACTTTTTTTCAAGTTAGGCATGTGTACATTTTCAGGAATCCTCTGCACTGATTATATCTGTTAGAGATGAAAGATGGCATCATTGTTTGGGTTATGAACCTGAAACTATTGGACCTTTAAATCTGAAGTCATCTTTCGTCATGGAGAGGAAAAGCTGGTTGTTGTCGATCTGCAGCTTGACATTCAGCAGAAATCAATGTTAATTATGCTCCATGCTAGTTATTTCTCTTCTTCAAAACACACCTGCAACGTTCATGTTAGGTTTCTCCTCAGGCTGGGAGGATGACTGAAATAGACAGCAATAGCGCTCCTTTTTCTTGTGATGATTTAATTTATTCAATTAAAACGGCTTATTTCCCAAGATAATGACATTATTAGCAGCACTGTGGGAAATAAGATGAGCCTGAGCCAAATGCATGACACTGGATCTATGGTCGTTCTATCTTAGTACTTGTGATCATGTTGGGATTTGCAGAGTTGTTTTGTTTGACTAGCTTTCTGCATTTTTCTGTTTGTCCGGTGATTCAGCTTGTGTCAGCAGGGTGATACATAGCAGGATTACCTCAGCAGTCAGCGATGCATCTTATTCTCTGTACAAGTTGCTATGCCTTCACCAGACGCAAAGGCCACAAAATTATGTCTGCATCATGTCTTTGAATCAGTGTCCCATAACTGATCCAGGACAGTCTTGTTCTGATTAGATCAGTTCTTTTGCAGCCGGTTCCTCTGGCTTCTCAGCCTTGTGTACAATGTGCTCCAGTTTTGCTGCCTTTTCCCCGGTGGGTTGTGTTCTCACCTAGCTTTCCCCTTCTCAATCCCCCTTTTCTGTGACACCAAAGTGGGAAAACAAATCCACCTGTGCTTCACCCTCCTGCAGTCATTTCCCTGATTATCAATCCCCATGTTATTCCTGCATCCCATTTCTCTAAAATGCTTTTGTTCAAGTTTTAGGCAGAAGCACTAATTTGTATCTCCTCAGATATGAGTGTGTAGGAGTGTGTGCAGATAAGAGCTACCCTCCCAGGGGAATAATGCATTATTCTCTGTGTGATGTAGCGTGGTGATATGGTAGAAGGGCTTGCCAGGGATGTGACAGGTCTTTGTTACCTTTCCTCTTTACTGCTCTGCTCCCTCATGCTTCCTTCCCTCTCTGCGCTCTCCCCTTTCCCCCACCTTCCTCACAACAAGTCTGCCTCTTTTAGAGTTGTTTGCTCTTGACTGAGAAGTCAATCAGAGCTGTCACTCCAGTGGAGCACACAAGCCACCTTGTAAAAGAGCCCACTGCCATAATACACCTGAGACCACCTACAGGCAATCTCTCACCATCTTTTTCTCTTTACCTCCTCATATCTCTCTTCTGTTTCCTCTTTTATTTTGTCTCTATCCAACCTTCTCCTTTCCTCTCTCGCCACCTTAAAGGGATCTATTATAACCTTTTTGATTTAGCTCTCGTGTTTACAGTGGATGTCAGATCTGATGAATACTGTGCTTGCTTTTGAGACTGAAAACCTTGAGAACCACAAGGAATCAAAGTATTAAGTGAATCATGACACGATAGTAGCTTCAAAAGGCAAACACTGTTGCATGTCTGTGTGGTAATCAGATTTTTGTGGAAGATGTCTTGAACATTGCTTTGTCATTTGACAGAAGTAAAAAAAAAAAAAATTAAACAGTCTAAAAAAAAGAGTGTTAGGGGACAGGGGAAATGCCCCCCCCCCAACACACACACACACACACACACACACACACACACGCACAAAATAATGTAATTGCCAAAAGGGAACAAACACCTGCACGCTATCTTCTTTAGCAATCAACTTTTATTGCAATGTTTTAGTCATAAAACCATATGTGGGAGTTAGTTTCTTTATATTGCTTGAACCAGCAGTCGCAGGGTTCTGGGGTAATGAAACGGATTAAAACAGTACTGCAGTAATGATTCAATCTGCACTCCTGCAAATAAAATGTTTAATTTGTTGCAGATGATAAGAAAAACAAATTGAAATGAGATGTTCCTTCCTGTAGAGTCAGTTAGGGAAGTGTTCCAGATTAGCAGCAAATGATTATTTTCATAATTGTTAATAATTTACTAGTAACCAGTTAGTGTTTGGCATTTTTACTTTTACAAATGTGTATTGTAACTATTATTTGTTATGTTTTCTGTCAGTAGACTTGGGGTATAATTGCCTAATTGTTTACGCAGTACTGTGATGAAATGTGTTTTTATGGTTTATGCATACGAATGCACACACAAGAATTCTTTTAGCCTTTATATTCTATCAGCATTACAGTCAAGTTATGTGCTTCTTTGAGGTTACTGTGGGTGTATGCAGTGCAGTCTCAAACACTGAAAAATGGAGGAATTTCTGTGCCTAGCCTTGACTGTTTTGCAGATCACAGTAAGGTAATTCCAGATGGATTGTGCTGAGGGCAGCCTCAGCCTGAGGAGATGACCACAGCCTGTTTACTCCCAGGTGCACTCACACTCTCCACTCCACAAGAAATTGTGTGGTTTATCCCCCCCCCCCAAACAAGATCATAACAGTTTTCCCTACCCCTACCCTGGCTTTCTTATCGCCAAACATGCATTAGAATGTCAGACACGTCTTCCCCCTCTGGATCCATATCTGCAGAGCCTCCAACTCTTTCTGTCTCTCTTGCCTCCAGATCTCTCCAGTAAATGTTACCTTTTCATATCTGCACTGGGAAAATAAGCTTTTTTTCCCCCCACTGCATGTGAGGATCTGCAGACACGATAACATTCGCCACTGAACTGCAAATGTCACTTTGACTAGCCAGCCAATCACATTGCTTTTCAGTGACCAGTGTGGCTTTCATATGGGGTTCACACCACGACACTGGTTCTGAGCAGATGTGCACACATGAATGTGAATGAGTCAGCAGGGCCCTCAGGTGTGGCCAGGAGAGGCCAACTGAAATACCACCAAATACCAGGAAACCAAATCAGATGTAACTTTTTATCTGAAAAATGGTTAGAGTGGTAATGATGAGCTGTGTTTATCCAGAGAGTGAGAGTATAATTAGTACAGCAGGCTGATGATGTCTCACATGATCGATTGTAGCAGCAGGAAACACTCATCAAGATGCAGTGAGGTTTGAATGAAAACATGGTATGTGGTGTTGATGCGTGGAGAGGCTGATGCTCTGTAGTGTATTACTGTACCTGAAAACCCTGTTGCTGTCATTGCTGCGTTGAAGGCATGCTAACATTAACCAGCATGAAGTGTGACTCACAAGGCTGCTGGTAGTTCCACTATTTTTATGCAACAGACATTACAAGAATGAAGCATGTTGTCAAAGCTTTCAGCACAATAGGCAATCAAGCATTTTGTTCGACACAGACTCTTTCATTTGAAGCTCTTTTGTATGTTCATTCTGCTTCATGGCCGTCAGTTCATATCGCTCATGCTCAGAGAAATGAAAGGGCTGCATATCTAAGCAGCATCTGAATTTGCATGCTAGGTAATGTCTTTGTCACACACACACACACAGATGGGAGGTGAGAGGCTGTTAGGTGTGTTATTAATATTTCAGCACTCCTCTACAGTTATTGGTCTGTTCCACAGCTCTGACCGTTTATCTCTGTGATGGCATATTTTAGGGACTGGGACCATCAATATTCGTGACCAGAGTATGTATTATGCAGTTTACTGTGAGTATTTTGGCTGCTACAGGGTCCAGGTATAGGAACCATTCCTTGTCAAGGGGCTACCAGTTTCAAATTCTGATGTGTTTTATTTACATGACTGGTGGGTAGTAGCCAAAAGTAAATATCAGTCAGCAGTAAGTAAAACCAGCTGATATACTCATATGGCCCCTTATCAGTCATATATAGGTTTCCTCTAGCAGACCTGGTTAATACTTTCTATAGGTGCAAATATAAGATTTGCAGCACTGGTTAAAAAAGAGATTCATAAAGAGAATAATCACTTTTTTATGATTGAATGATGTTTAAATTCCACTCTTCTGCTGCTGAGAAGAGGTTAAAGCAAATTCTAAATAATGTTTGACAGCCTCCTACTTCTTTTGTTCTTTTCAGAAAAAGAAAACATTTAAAAGCCTCCACTCTGAATGCTAGAGCATCATTGTTCTAAGACATTTTGTTGTTGTTGTTGTGAGCTATTACCTTTTCAGTGCGAGGTCAGTGGCTTTGTCCCACAGGACGCCTTTAACCCGGGGCAAGTATTCTTTGCCGGTGGGCTTGTCTGAGGACGCTTGCTCTGATTTCAGGAGACAGGCTCATCCATGGCTTTGCTTATCTGGATCAGAGAGGCAGCCCATCACCCTCAGGAGCAGTAATCAGCATGCTCACCTTCTGCCACTGAATAATCACACTCATAACAGGATGGAGAGCTTGCCAATCATCAACCAGGAAATTAAATATTTACAAAAATGCTTTTGCCTTGATAGGGAATATTAAACAGACTGTTGGAACATGTTTCTATAGGCAAATGTTCTGGTTGTTTAATCATGCTGTCACTACAATGGTATGAATCCAAGTCATCAGCTGTCACTACTGACGAAACTGTGCATGCAAGAAGTTTAAATGTCTATATTTATATTGTTTGGCCCCCACTCTTTCTTTCCTTTGCAGTTCCTGTGTCTGAAGAACATCCGGACATTTCTCAAGGTGTGCCACGACAAGTTCAGCCTGCGCAACAGTGAGCTGTTTGACCCGTTTGACCTCTTTGACGTCAGGGACTTTGGCAAGGTGAGTTGGACATTAGACATGGATGTTCTGCTTTTTAGCCTCCAAAATGCTTTGCACTTGAGCAGACACTCTGATCAGCTCAGAAACTGTTCTACCCATACATTAGATTCTAACTATAAAGGGTGCCCAGAGACAAGACACTGCTTGCATCCCTGATGGTGACATGTAGGAGTTATGTCTTCTAGTTGTCAGATGAAAAATGAAGATGTGGTATGTTTATGATTTGGTCTTGTGAGACTGGCCCTCATGCTGACGTGGGTTATCAAATGAAAAATGCTCATCATAACTTTCCACAAGACTTAAAGTTTTGATTAACATTAATGTTAGTTGCACTGTTTGAAGGGGTGTATGCTTACCATTTTTGCCCTAATTACAATGTAAGAAGTTATGTGGGGACGAGAGTGTGCATGTACTATCTACAGAATAACACATCATGCCCGTGTGATTTGCTTGGGCAGGTAGCTCTAAATCAAATCTGTCAGTTATATTAACTTCAGCATGGAGAGCAAAGCTCAGACTAGCCTTTCGTGTAACATGTCTCACGACACTGAGTGACTAGAATTAAACTCTTTCTAGCAGTCTGTAGTGGTTGTGCATGTGTTGGCACAGCAGTAAAGGTCGTTGACTCATTCATACATTGCAGTAGCTTTATGGGGAGTTTTATGGGGTATTCAAGTGGATTTTTGTATGAATTTATTGCCTCTGGGGACTTTTTTAGACGTTTATCCAGGGGAAGGTTAGCGACATGGAATATGAGAGGGTTATGTCCAAGAGGCTTAGACCTGTAGCCTGAAGGTCAGCCGTGCCTATTTTGGTGTCCATGGAACTGAGACAACTCCTTTTATAGGTTTGATGTTTAAGGCCTGTGATACTACACTAAGCCGATGGTTGGCTGTCAACCACTTGGGGAGCATCTGTCACCCTAGTTTTTGTGGTGTGTCCCACGCTGTTGGCACTAGTTCGACCCTTTTGGCAGCTTTTCAGTCAATTCAGCATGTTGAAGTGGCAATGGGCCTTGTTGGTGAGAGAGAACATTCTGATTGGTTGTTCAGCTTAGTGAATCAATCCACGAGAAGACAAAGGTTTGAGCCTGTCACCAAAACACCCATGATTTCATTTAGTATGGTTTCTCCTTATTTTTCACCTCTGTGACTTCCTTTTTTTCCCCCCACAACTAAAGGACCAAGTGCTGATAATGCCAGAGCCATGTGCAGCCCCTTATCAGACATATTCTCAATTAGAAGCAGCTATAAAGTGTCTGTGGTGAACAAAACGGTTTTGTTGATGGTTTGAATCTCTGCAGTATAGGTCTTCTGATTTCTCGCTATGAATGATAAATACCACCACCTGATGGTGTGGAGAGTTATTTCCTCTTACACAGGCACAGAACGTACATGCTCATTGGCTGTATTCTGTCTGGTGTGTTTAAGTGCCACTTTTTGGCCCCAACAGAGGCGACATGGTGATGCAACAGTTGGCCTTTGTTGCTACTAGGTTTTTGATGTCTACTTGTGTTTCTCTGTCCTTAATCTGGGTGTGTTTCCTATTTCAAAGTCCATGAACTAGACCCGCATAAAGTAAGAGGAGCGATTATGAATCCCAGCTGGCCCAAGAGTGCCTCAGGATCTCCCAGGAGGAGCTGAAGTACATGGATACTTTTGCTCAGTCGGCTGCTTTTGTGACCTAGACCTGGATAATTGGTTGACAATGAATGGTTGGAGGTTTGTGGTTGTGCATGGCAGATATTTAATTAAGGTAGGCAGTGTGTAGTATATCAAAACATCATATTCAGTTACTGGAATTTCAGCATCAGTACAAAACAGCTAAAAACACAGGAGAAGACGCCTGACATCTGAAAAGTCCTGGAAGAGGAGCTAGCTGATGGAGGAAAGGGGAAGGGATTGGCTGATAATCCACGATCAACATACCCTGTTTCCCTCAGCTTTTTAATCCCTTTCTTTGACTGTGTTGTGTGTGGCTCCAGACAAGAGGGGTCCAGGGAGTTTCCTTAAAGCTGCATGGATGGTATGATGTCGTTATATTGATGATTTCACAGATGCTGCTGTGTGAGGATTGGTGTGGTGGGAATGATAATATTGTAGTTTTTCAGTTGATTGAACATATAAAATTTGTATTGCAGTGGTGGAAATTACACTGTAGAGGTGAATAAACTGTATTATACTGTATCTCACTATGATCGATAACAAAGAGGACATGTGTGCAGATAGTGATCTGCTCATTTATCTAGAGCATCTACAGTAATCTAATTCAACATATCCACTTTCCCTGCATTGGGCTGAGAAGAAGGGCCAGAGAAAGACAGAGAAGGAAGATGAAAGAAAGATGAGAGAGCAGAAAAAGGAGACAAGGACTCATTTGGCAGTTTGTAGATAAACCACAAGACGATGTCTGAGAGTCAATGAGCTCGCAGTGAACGATATTAAAATCCAGCAGCAGTCAGAATCAATCACATAGGCCCTCCATATGTCAATTTGGAAATTGCTTTTGTATGGTCTCAGCAGTGGCGGGCTTGTCTCATCATTGATTTTCTATTAAGGCCAAACATCACATTAAAATATATTGAACTGAGTAGATCCCTACTAATGTGGCATACATTTAAATAATGAGAATGGCTCATAAACGAAAGATAACAAGGTTGTTTTATTCCTGCAGTTAGTCTCTTCAGGCCTCTTTTTTTGCAGCTCATCCGAGGGTGTACTGTTTCCTCTTTTGTTACCTTGATACAAAAGCATTTGTGTGCACATCGCATATCAAACAAAGGGAATTCTAAGTTCTGTCAAATATACAGCATTTACATGTCATATCACATTAGGTAGACAATTACATTTTGCTGAAAATATAACCAACTTTGGTGCTTGTGCAGATTTTGCTGAAAAGATACATTCTTTAAAATCAAGAATTATTTAAAGAAAACCCTTATTGTACAGTATATTGTATCATTTAGCTAAAACTATTGGTACCTGTTTTAATTACACAGATACATCTGCATTTTTTAGTTCAGGTTGGATATACTGTTAAATAAAACTAGATATTTTCAGGATGCATTTTAAATATGTGTCTTTAGCTTTACCACTGGCTGTGTTAAGAGTTTGAGGTGCTGTAGGTGTTTAGAGAGTGGCACAGTCGTACACTGCAGTCACACCGGATGCAACTTTTGCAATATATTCCTTCAGAGACACATTGGTTGACAGTTTTTGCTTGAGTGCATCCCCGAGTGCTCATTCTTGTGTTTGGAATACCAAATTTTCTAGTGACAGATGGTATTGGCACAGCAGCAGTCCAGGAAATAAAAACATACAAACAAACAAAAGCGAAATTAAATGGCAAATATACATAATATGTACATGTTACATGGAAGTTGTCACTATTGCCTTTATAATTCCACAGTGCTGTTAAAGGGATTTTCATTTTTACTTGTGTAAATAAGAAGAGGAAAAAGAGGTAAATGGAAGAATTCTCAGTATGTACCTGGTGGCACAAACTGTAGATATTTAATTTCCTCTAGAAGAGTGGAATTAAAACAGAAGACTGTGGGGAAAAGAGGAAAGAGAGAGGGTTTTAATAGCAAATGCCTCTAGAAACATTAATCAGCCCCTGTCCACCTTTCACAACTCCACACTGGTTTCTAGGGGCCCTGGAGCTCATCTCCCCCTGGCCTCTGATCACCATCTCTCTCTCTAATGATGCCTTTTCCTAGGTTACGTGCAACTGAAGGCTGGGGGGCATTCCCAGTGCTGGAAAAAGTAATTGCCCCTTCAGAACCTGTCCCTACCCTTTCCACTGGGGCTGGAAACAGATTGAGCACATACCCTGCTCGATGTCCTCTGCTGCTTTTTATTTTCATGACACCACTCATTTCACCCAGGAATACCCTTTGCCACATAGAACTTGAGCTAGTGCTCCCTTGTTGTCGTCTCTTTTCATGGTGATATGAGCATAGTTTCATGCACACATCACAAGACATCCTTGCACCCCACCCCATCCCCCATCATTAGAAATTCATTATGACATCATTAAACCAATGAAATACAGCTTATTACAGTTAGACCCCAGAGAAAGCTTTCATTTAAACACCTCCCTCCATTCGAACCCAGCCGTCTCGTTTTCTTTCTCCCAACCTATTTTAATTAGCCACCAAAGGAACATTGCTGTCATTTAAATGAACATGGCAATCAGTTTATTTGGCTGTTGCCATGATTAGCATAATTAGCCTGCACCTGTTAGCCATCTATCAACAGTTTGGTAATTTTCCGTCTGTGACTGGAGAGCGACGGAGGAAGGAAGCTTTGTGACAGATTTGCCGTCTTCATTAAAGAGAATGGTTCCATTTATTTGAAATGCAGACAGTGTTGCTTGCGTCAGTTTCTATCTCATCTAAATAGCCTTGCAGTCATGACTGACTGACTTGTGAAGTGCCAGAGCCAGCCAAGTGATGCTCATTGACGTGATAGTACAATGTCAAGGTGAATGGATTTTATTTGCACATTGCATTTGAATGGAAATTGGTCCCTTAATTTGAGCTCTTTGTTATATGGAGTAGCTGTGGTTCATGTTCAAGTGACAGTGGCCACATTTTCCAGCAAACTTATGGTGATTTGTGTTTTTTGTGAATGTGTGAACTTTTCAACCTCACAGCTAAATCGTCCTCCTTATAACCGAGAAACTGAAGTAACAGTTTTTGCTTTCACTACTGTAAATGAGTGGCTGCATGAGGGAAGTCATACTGGACAGATGAAATGTGATATTTTATTGTAAGATGTCCCTGAATTTTGCTCTGCATCACAACCAATAATTAATGTATTGTAATGCCAAGTGCACAAAACACACCGTAAAACAGATGGAGAGTACTAATGTGAAGAAACACACATTAGTCCCTTGATTTCATTTGTACCAACTACTCCCTTTTAGGTTGCTTTTTTTTTCCCCCTCCTCTCAATACCTTCATCCATCTCTTCCCTTTCTTCACCATCCTTCTCTTC